TGCCTGCAATGAACCAGCTAGTTGCCTCTGAACACGTCAAGCATCACAAATTTTAGTAGCCTGGCCTAGTAGACGCAACTAATATACGCAACTAATCACCCCGTGTATAAGCACCTTTAATGATACGACCTATAACATTATAGGTCAATAAATGATACATGGCATGACTCACCTGGGACACATGACCCACCTGGGACACATGACCCACCTGGGACACGAGGAGGGCGTCGAGCCAGTGGTAGAGGAGGGCGTCCTCCAGCAGGAGGGCGGCGTCGTGCACAGGACCGCAGCAGAGCACCGCGACGCACGCCTCCAGCGCGCTGTCCTGCAGCTCCTGCCCCTGCGGCCCTACGTCCCGGGGCTGTAACGTAACGTAACTTACGTCACCGTAACGTAACTTACGTCATCTTAACGTAATTTACGTCACCGTAACGTAACTTACGGCACCGTAACGTAATCACCGTAATGTAACTTACGTCACCAACGTAACTTACGCCACCGTAACATAACATACGGCACCAACATCACCTCAACACAAACAAATATGGGAATGAATAACAATTTTATTATAACGTCATACGAATGGAGCATAATAATACAAGTATAATTCGATCGGGGCAAAAATGCTGCAGGAATTAGCAATACTGACAACAGTATTGCTACTGGTAACATTATTGCTCCGGGCAACAGCTTGGTCACTGACCGTGTAGCCGAAGTGCATCCCGTAGCTGCCGGTCCAGGACGCAAACATGCAGAAGAGACCGCGCCTGATGGGCCGCGGCACCAGCGTCTGCTGCTGCTCCACTGCACGGTAATAATAATACAAAGATATATTAAATAACTTATTACGGTAATAAGAGCAGTAATTAACGCGAGGCAAACAACATAATAATACAAAGATATATTATATATCGTGTTCCACGTCACGGTAATAAGCGCAGTAATTAACTTGACACGAGAACAAGCCGTAACATAATAAAACGATATATTATATATCAGAACCTGTAACTGTTGCTCTCAGCAAATCAATAAAACTCCGCATGGCAGAAGAACAAGAAATTTAATTTCTAATCAAGTCTAAACTCAATACTTACCGTACCTATATATTCTTTCTTCTTCAAAGAACGTTTGACAACTCAATTAAATGCATGCCATTGCTCATCACGCTTCAAGTGTTTGCAGCTACCATTTTTTTATATTATGATCGATTTTCAACAACAATGAATTTAGGTTAGTTATTTAATTTAGTTAATAAAGTACTGCGCTTTGTGGACCTCGCAATTAAAAAGCAATCGTTTGCCAAACTCGAAAAATAGAAAACGAAACACTTACAGAGCTTCCTCACAAACATAGTGACTCACACGTCCTCACAAACACTTTGCCTCACACGTAAAGCTTGTGAGCAGTTTCCTCACAAACTGGCAGAAGAGCACTTTGATGTGAGAGAGCAGCTTCCTCACAAACACTAGACTCACACGTAAAGCTTGTGAGCAGTTTCCTCACAAACTGGCAGAAGAGCACTTTGATGTGAGAGAGCAGCTTCCTCACAAACACTGTGACTCACACGTAAAGCTTGTGAGGAGTTTCCTCACAAACTGGCAGAAGAGCACTTTGATGTGAGAGAGCAGCAGGTTGTCGCGGTCCCAGTCGCTCTCGAGGTAGCAGCGCGCGCCGTCCAGGTAGTCCAGGTAGTGCTTCAGCAGTGCGCCCGTGTCGCTCTCTACCACGCCCTCGCTGTGATAATATTAAGACTATATGATAAGATATGATATGATTTATATGATATGAACATATGAAGGTATGGGACAACCATCACGCCCTCGCTGTATCAACAACAGCACCGTATGTCATGTGAACATGTAAATAAATATGATTGTATGACGGTTATGTGAAAGTATGATGATATGAAGATATGAATAAATGTAACGATATGAAGATATGGGACAACCACCACGCAATTGCTGTACCAAGATTAGCACCATGTGATATGATATGGAACATTTGGATAAATGGGACCATATGAGAATAGGTTATGAATAGGTTATGTGAGAATAGGAAAATATGTAAAAATATAATGGCAATTGATGCCATCACTGCGGGAATAAGTTTGATTGAAGATATCAAGGAAATGACATGTCGCAAGTCAGCCAGAGATGAATAAAATATTTAACGGACGGTTCAATATCCCCCCAACATACATCATTTTCCTCTAAAGTATTTTGTGTTTAATTAATAAAATCTTGTAGGGATGTTGAGCTTTGTGGTTCATTAATAAAATCTTGTAGGGATGTTTCTTTTACGGCTTCACCAATACCCCTATTCTACATACATAATTTTCCCCTAAATTATTCAGCGGTTAATTAGTAAAATATTGTAGGGATCTAGAGCCCCGGCCCCGGCAGGCACCTGAGGGCGAAGGTGCCTGCAGAAGCGGCGGCATGGAAGAGCTTCATGAGCTGCAGACGGAGGGCGTCCCTGCGTCTGCGTCGTCTCATGTTCTCCTGCTTCCTGTCCAGGCTCTCCCGCACCAGCGGCACCAGCTCCTCCATCACATCGCTGTCAACATAATATTTGTCTTTATTACTTAAAATAGTTATTCCTATTATTTACAATATTTATTGTTATTACTTACTACTATAATTATTACAATAGTTATTCTTATTACTTACCATACNATATCAAGGAAACGACATGTAGCAAGTCAGACAGAAATGAATAAAATATTTATCGGACGGTTCAATAACCCACAACATACATCATGTTCCTCTGATTTATTCTCTGTTTAATTAATAAAATCTTGTAGGGATGTTGAGCTTTGTGGTTCATTAATAAAATCTTGTAGGGATGTTTATTTTACGGCCTCACCAATATACCCCTATATCCTAAATACATCATTTTCCTTGTAGTGATCTAGAGCCCCGGCCACGACAGGCACCTGAGGGCGAAGGTGCCTGCAGAGGCGGCAGCATGGAAGAGCTTCATGAGCTGCAGACGGAGGGCGTCCCTGCGTCTGCGTCGTCTCATGTTCTCCTGCTTCCTGTCCAGGCTCTCCCGCACCAGCGGCACCAGCTCCTCCATCACATCGCTGAAAACACATCACTTGGTCTTATTACCTACAATACTTATTCTTATTACCATACAATGCTTATTACAACACTTACGGTATTACTAACAATACTTGATGTTCCATACAATACTTACAAGGTGGTGATGAGGCTCACCAGAGGGCACGAGGGTTGATGTTGCCGAGGGCAAGGCTGGCCACGTCGCGCACCTCGCTGAGGTCACAGCGCAGCAGCGGCACCAGCAGCTTGTACAGCAGCGGCGGCGCCACCCCGCCACCCGCCGCCACCCCGCCGCTGCCTACGCCGCTGTCGGGGGACGAGCTGACCACGCAGTATCATCAATTTTAATATCTCTTCATATTTAAATGTCTCAATCAAATTAAATATCTCTTCTTATTTAAATATCTCAATCAATTTAAATATCTGTTCCCGTTCAAATATCTCAACCAATTTAAATATCTCTTCCTATTTAAATGTCTCAATCATTTTAAATATTCATATATATACAATATATATTTACATATTCAAAATATTTGAGNTAACACCACCTACACACCCATTAGCTCCCCTTAACACCACCTACACACCCATTAGCTCCCCTTAACACCACCTACACACCCATTAGCTCCCCTTAACACCACCTACACACCCATTAGCTCCCCTTAACACCACCTACACACCCATTAGCTCCCCTTAACACCACCTACACACCCATTAGCTCCCCTTAACACCACCTACACACCCATTAGCTCCCCTTAACACCACCTACACACCCATTAGCTTCCCTTAACACCACCTACACACCCATTAGCTCCCCTTAACACCACCTACACCCATTATCTCTCCTTAACACCACTTACACCCATTAACGCCCATTAACCAGGTTCGCTCACCCGATGCTGATGTCAGGGGAGGCGCAGCGCTGCTGCACAGGCGTGGACGACGCTGACGATGACCCAGTGGCTGACGCTGACGAGGAGCCAGTGGCTGACACTGAGCTGCTGACGACGGAGGACGATGAGCTGACGGAGGGCACGACACGGCACGCCAGGACGGCGTAGTTACGCCACAGGTTCAGGTACAGGTCGCGCTCACACACCGGGGGCTTCTTGAGGGTTGTTGCTGAACGCAGCAGCGACGCGCGGTTGTCGTTAGGCTGACTGTACAGACGTGGGCAATATTGTTATCATATAAACAAATTAAATATTATACAATATTGTGTTGGCTGACTGTACCGACGTGGACAATATTGTTATCATGAAAACACAATACATATTATACAATATTGTGTTCTTGTGATACAAACACAATACACATCATACAATATTGTGTTCTTATCATATAAACACAATACATATCATACAATATTGTGTTCTTATCATATAAACACAATACACATCATACAATATTCTCATCATGAAGTCTAAAGCCTAGTAGTATACCGGAACAACCAATATTGTAGTCACATAATGAAGTTTAATGAAGACCAGAGAAGTTGTTTTATTGACGAATTTCTCATCAACTTTTCAGTTAATCTTCATAACGAACAACAACGAAGATACGGTATCATCAAAACACCTGCAGTACAATCCTGGCTTGATCTTTTCATCTGAGAAAAACTCGATTTTAAATTTCGCACATTTGATCCTCAGCAAAAGTAGGACCAAGGTCATACTATTGCTGTATCATGGAGTACATGATGAATGTAATGGTTCATGATGGACTATAACATGACTGCGCATGTAATGATTGATTACAAGTCCAGCAGCCATCAACCTTCAAACTTCTGGGTTTGTCAGAACCTTAATTGAGACTGTTTTCGGAGTAATTTTTAGTGCTTTAATTTTTTATTATCTCCATATTTTCGTGATATTTTAATTACTTCTAATCAAACTCCGATTTTCGGAGTAGTATCTTATTTACATGATTTTATACACGTGTCGATCCAAATTATCACTCAATGCGTCCTGTAACCTGATAATGAATGATTGTCATTGATACATTCGAAACGTTGTTAACAAAATTAAAATCTATATCGTTATACCATGATTTTCGGTTCACCAGTGCAAACGAGACATATTGTTCGATATACTAAAAAAACTACAAAGAAAATAGTCAATAAAACTGATTCTCTGGTCTTCAATGAAACCTGCTTAGAAACAAATTCTGCCAACCAATACTAAAGCTTTATAATGTGTGTATATTATTGTAAAGGTTTGTGTATAATATGTGAAGCATTGTAGTATACTCCGATATTATATACACAACACATAATACATGTGCACTCCTTGTCGGTTGCTGCTCAATATGGCAGTTTTGCCAATTCAAATGATTGCCAAATGTCATCAGTGATCTTAGAAACAAATGAGGCTTCGTCAACAAATGATACATTCGAAGCATGTAGCATATCATGTACCATATTTTATGAGGCTGCTAAACAAAGGCCCTGCTATCAAAACTAGCTCAAGTAAGCATGGAGGCCAATATATAGTCTGCAATTAGTGGCTTGAGTTAAAAAAATTTGCATTAAAAAAGACAACATTTCTAAAGAATCCAGTGTCTCCAATGTTACAAATGTACAATGAATTTTTAACTTTATTTTCATTTATAAAAAATAATTTTCACATTTTTTATATTTTTATATACCAAAAAAAATTAAAAATTATTTATTCTGTCAATTGATTCGAGCATTGTCTCCGACTTTACGCAAGTGCACAAAATTTCAGATCGATTGGACAATTAGAAGTATGTTAAATATTGATTATAAGAATTGTAGAGGACAACAAGAAATGAAGTTCATTAGGAGAATTAAGTTTTGTAATAAATCGTTGTTTGGGTGACAGAGTTACGAACTCATAACTATCCTGAAGGTGCGGTTCCTTGAGAAGAAATAAAGCAGACGCAGGATATTAGCCAACATTCTTATTAACTAATAACCATCCTGATGGTGCAGACCCTTTAAGAACAAATGCAACAACAGATGCAGGATATTGGCCAACATTCTTATGAACTAATAACCATCCTAATGGTGCAGTACCTTGAGAACAAATTAATAACCATCCTGAAGGCACGGTTTCCTGAGAACAAATAAAACAGACGCATGATATTGCCCCACTCACAGAGGGTCAATGGTGGGGTAGAGGAGGGCAGCCCTGGTGTATGCGAGGGGCCAGGCGAGGGCAGAAGCACGAGGGCACTCCGACAGCACGCGCCCCTCCTGCAGGAAACCCAGCAGCACCTGCACAGACCGGGCGTCATACGCAGGTTCCTTTGCACATGACCGCAACAAGCTGTGAATTTTATAGGCGATAGGCCTATGGCCTATTAAACGCTGAAACCGCTATTATTATTATAATTATTACTATTATGATGGCTCTTATGAGAGCCATATAAATAATTGTTTACTGAAACCACTATTATTAATTATTATTATGGTTCTTATGAGGCCCACATATATAATTGTTAAATGATTTAGTTAAATAACTCGAATGAAAATTAAGATAAATACTTGGGTTAGAAAATTTACCTAAATAACTTCGTTAAACCCACGTGGTCGAGTCGTAATGGTTAAAGGCTTAATTAGAAGGCTAGATTGCACTGAGTGGCAAGTCACCATAAAGAAAAAGTATCAAATTAACTAACACTATGAACGCAATCGTAAGACAATTATGAACACAATCATAAATCAATCGTTTTGAACACAATCATAAGACAATCGTTATGAACGCAATCATAAGACAATCGTTATGAACACACTCATAAGACAATCGTTTTGAACACAATCGTGAGACAATCCTTATGAACACACTCGTGAGACAATCCTTATGAACACAATCGTGAGACAATCGTTTTGAACACAATCGTGAGACAATCCTTATGAACACAATCGTGAGACAATCGTTTTGAACACAATCGTGAGACAATCCTTATGAACACAATCGTGAGACAATCGTTTTGAACACAATCGTGAGACNTCATAATCACAATCCTCATAATCACAATCCTCATAATCACAATCCTCATAATCACAATCCTCATAATCACAATCCTCATAATCACAACCCTCATTATCACAACCCTCATAATCGCAATCACCATAATCACAGACAAGCAGTACCTGGGGCCAGACGTCAGTTTGGACGGGCGACGTGGCGCCCTTGTCGACGTCAGCGCCCGTCCAGAGGGCGCCCGTGCGCTCCACCAGCCACTGCAGGTCGGCGCCCGCGCCCCCGCTGCTGCCCGCGCCCCCAGGGCAGGTCGCCGCCCTCTCGCACGCGCCCACCTGGGCACTCACGCCCTCCACCACCGCCCCGCAGTGTCTGCGTCTGTCTCTTATACACATCTAGATGTGTATAAGAGACAGCCTCATAATCGCAATCACCATAATCACAGACAAGCAGTACCTGGGGCCAGACGTCAGTTTGGACGGGCGACGTGGCGCCCTTGTCGACGTCAGCGCCCGTCCAGAGGGCGCCCGTGCGCTCCACCAGCCACTGCAGGTCGGCGCCCGCGCCCCCGCTGCTGCCCGCGCCCCCAGGGCAGGTCGCCGCCCTCTCGCACGCGCCCACCTGGGCACTCACGCCCTCCACCACCGCCCCGCAGTGTCTGCGCACACAAATCTCCTATAGTTTCAAATTGTTCTTACTACATTCACTTTGTTCTTACTATATTTACATTATTTAATACGACGCCTTCATTTACATTATTCTTACATTATATATTAAAATTTTTCTATTTATATCATACATATAATACATTATTTTTTGGTCAGTGCCTGGGTACAGTAATGTTCTATACATTTACATTGTTCTTAGTACATTTATATTATTTAATATGACGCCAAACTTTACATTATTTAAAAACGCCTACATTCACTTTATTCTTACAATATTAACATTATTTAATCTGACGCCTACCCTTTACATTATTTAAAGACGCCTACATTTACATTATTCTCACATTATACATTTAAATTATTCTATTTACATTATAGGTACCTACATAAAATACATTATTCTATGGGCAATGCCTGGGCAGAGAAAGTGTCTGGACGCGCGACAAGGAAATGCTCGTTAGCCCGGAAGTTAAAAAATTAAAAACCTAGATAGTCCCGACATACTAAAAAAAAATCCTAGATAGCCCCGAAGTCCTAATATAAAAAAAATCTAGATAGCACCGAGGTAGTGCTAAAATTACAAAAAAAAACTAGATAGCACCGACGTAAAAAACTTATATAGCCCTCACACGAGGGCTATATACACACACACGAGCCCCGAAGTCCAATAATAAAAAAAAACCTAGATAGCCCCGACGTACTAAAAAGAAAAAATATAGATAGCCCCGAGGTACCAAAGTAAAAAAAACATAGATAGCCCCGACGTACTAAAAAAAACTAGATAGCCCCGACGTACTAAAAAAAACTAGATAGCCCCAACGTACTAAAATAAAAAACCTAGATAGTCCCGACGTTTGAAAATCAAAAATCTAGATAAAAGACCGGAAACTGGATGACGAAAGATGTCCAAATTATCGAGTTTTTCATTGGTATACTTACGGCAGGAAGAAGTGGGCTACCTCATCACCCACCTGTCAAGACAGTCCAGCAGCGAGGTGTGCTGGTGGGCAGCACTAGACACACCACCCACCTGTCAAGACAGTCCAGCAGTGGTTCAGGTACAGGTCGCGCTCACACACCGGGGGCTTCTTGAGGGTTGTTGCTGAACGCAGCAGCGACGCGCGGTTGTCGTTAGGCTGACTGTACCCACGCCCACAATATTATTGTTATATAAACATAATACATATTATACAATATTGTGTTGGCTGACTGTACCCACGCCGACAATATTATTATCATATAAACACAATACACATCATACAATATTGTGTTCGTATGATACAAACACAATACACATCATACAATACTGTGTTGACTGACCGTACCGACGTGGACAACACAATTTGTCCACGCTTCTTGTTGTCTGCTACAAATTTGTAGCAGACAACAAGAAGTGAAGTTAAATAGAAGTGTTGTGATAAGAAATCATTGATTGGGTGACAGACTTACGAACCATCCTGAAGGTACGGTACCTTGAGAACAAATTAATAACCATCCTGAAGGTACGGTACCTTGAGAACAAATTAATAACCATCCTGAAGGCACGGTACCTTGAGAACAAATAAAACAGACGCAGGATATTGCCCCACTCACAGAGGGTCAATGGTGGGGTAGAGGAGGGCAGCCCTAGTGTATGCGAGGGGCCAGGCGAGGGCAGAAGCTCGAGGGCACTCCGACAACACGCGCCCCTCCTGCAGGAAACCCAGCAGCACCTGCACAGACCGGGGGCTCAGACGCAGGTACCTTTGCACATGACCGCAACAAGCTGGGAATTTTCTGCGATGTTAAGAATCGGCGACAGGCCTACGGACTACTATAACGCTGAAACCGCTATTATTATTATTATTATTATGACTATTATGATGGCTCTTATGAGAGCCATTTAAATAATTGTTTACTGAAACCGCTATTATTATTATGATTCTTATTATGGCTGTTATGAGGGCCAAATATATATAATTGTTTAATTATTTAGTTAAATAACTAAAATAAAAATTCAGATAAATACTTAAAAAATTACCTAAATAAATCCGTTAAACCACGTGGTGGACTCGTAATTGTGAACGGCTTGGAAGGCTTGATCGCATTGAGTGGCAAGTCCTTATAAGCACAATCCTCATAAGCACAATCCTCATAAGCACAATCCTTATAAGCACAATTCTTATAAGCACAATCCTTATAAGCACAATCCTCATAAGCACAATCCTTATAAGCACAATCCTCATAAGCACAATTCTTATAAGCACAATCCT